AGTTCTGTAAAAAATTAAAAAGTCAAGTAGGATAAAATTTTTTTAAGACTGAACAAAGATATTCGGGGATCTTTTTTATCTTACAAGTTAATAGAGCCAAAATAAACAAAGATTCATGAATTCGCTTAAATAATTGTTGAGATATATTTGGTTAAAGTTTAGTAAAGGATTCAAACGTCTATTAAATAGATAAGCAGGGATGAAGTTTTTTTTAAATTTTAAACGAAGATATCTTAACAGTTATTTAAGCTAATTCGATGAAATTTTTAATTTTAAATTCAACAGATTTGAGAATTAAAATATAAAAAAGTTTCTCGAATCTGCCTTGATAGTTGTCTAGATACCTTATTTAAAATCTTATAAGTTTCTTTATTTTGTAGACTTTAACAAACTTTGAACGAAGGTATCTTGCAATTATCTAAGTAAATTCGTTGAACTTTTTATTATTTTAATTTTACAAGTCTGTAGAGTTAAAATAAAAAAAAATTCATCTAATTAGCTTGAATGGTGTCGAGATATCTTCGTTCAAAATTAAAAAAAAACTGATATTTAATGTCGATCACTTACTGTGCCGATAACGGATATGCATATAATCGCTCAAATAAATAATATAGTAAAAATTCTGTAAATGCACTTTATAACAGTATTTATTTCCAAGAGCATACAATTATAAAAGTTTTATTGATATTAGTTATCTATTATTATAACTAATCTAAAAAAATTCTAATTCTAATGATTTTTACATCGAACATTATTTGGATGACAACGAGTACTACAAGATGCACCCGCCTTTTTACATTTACAATGGTTTTTTAAACAATCACCTTTGCAAAGACATTTTGTAGCAATTATAGAGCCGGAACTTTGTTGGATAGCAGCTTCACGGGTACTTACACAAGCGTTGGGAATAACTGCAAGCTCAGGATATTCTCTAAAGGTTCCAGTAATAGGAACCAATTCGATAGCTGAATAATATTCTTTCAATCTTCCATACTGACATCCTAAAATGTATATACCATTCTCCATGACTTCTAGCACTTTACAAGGTATGTACCGACGATCAATGCCGGCACGGTCAACTTCAGAAATTCGGATCTGAACCAAATCATCTGGTTCATATGTATGTGGATGCTTTCTTCCTTTTTCCATTTGCTGCCTCATTTTTTCCGTATAAACTTCCAAATGTTTAGCAGCTTCAGCTTCGATGACATTTTGTACAGCATAAAAAGATGGAAATAGACGTGAGCCCTGATTCTTAAATAAAAAATTTTGATGAAAATCTAAATATTTATTTAAAAAAACAAAATTTGTAAATACTATTCCAATGCTTACCATTTGCGTGGTCACATCATCTAATGGCGGTCTCTAAAATTAAAATATTTAAGTTTTGGGTTATCAAAAAAAAATTTTTAAATTAAACCCCAATTACAGAATTAGTGGGACACTTGAAAATTTTGCTTGTTCCCAAAACCTTTCGGATTCGTCTTATAAATCATCTAACTCCTCAGAAACCACGTCACTGTCTTTGGAACTTCGATCCGAAAATTGTGATTTCCGAAGAGCTAGATGATTCGTAAGACAAATCCGAAAGGTTTCGGGAAACAAGCAAAATTTTCAAGTGCCCCACTACAGCTGTAAGCTATTATTTTAATACTAACCATTACCACATTAGGTGGTGGCGGCAACGACGAAATCTAAAATTCAAAAATTTAGCAGATCGACCAAAGTTAAGAATCAGAAAGATATGAATTTTTTTTTTTTTTTTTTTCAATACTAAATACACTACTAAATACTTACCATATTCATTGCCACATTAGGTGGCGGCGGCAGCGATGAAATCTAAAATTTCAAATTACAATTAGTTAATTGTTTAACCTGAGTTACATGTTTCTTATTCCATACTTACCACATTCTCATTAGGCGGCAGCAACGGCGAAACCTAAAATTTTGAGATAAGTACAAGCTACTATCATTCAAATTTAAGTATTGTTAATTAACTTTTTACCACATTCTCATTAGGCGATAGCAGCGACGAATCCTATTTCAAAAAAAAAAGATATAAATTATTATTTTCATTTAAAGCATTACTGTATTCATTACTAAAAAATTTACCATATTTTTATTAGGCGGCAACAGCGGCGAAACCTAAAAGCAAGTATGGTCAATTACTTTTCAACTGAAATGTAATCTTTGGTTCAATGTTTACCGTATCTTCGTTAGGTGGTGGTAGCGGCGAAACCTAAAACATTAAGACATATAAGTAGTCATTATTCAATTAACGTTATCTTTTATCCAACGCTTACCATATCTTCCACAACATTATATGGTGACGGCAATGGTGAGACCTGAAATCCCATAGATAAGTATAACTATCGTTTTTTAATTGTAGATGTCATTTTTCATTAAATACTTACCATATTTCCCCCCACATTAGACGGCAGCGAATTCTAAAATTTAGAGATGAGTAATTTTAAAATTAATGTTAATTTAGATTTTAATTCCTTATAAATGCCTACCATATTTGTCAAGTTGGGTGGCAACTGCGGTAAAATCTAAATTTTTAAATATAAACATTGTTTTTAAAGTACTATTTTTATTTAATGCTTACCAAATTTCCCATCATATTACGCGGCGGCAGCGGCGACGAATTCTGAAATTTATTATTTTTTTTTTGATTCACATTTTGACACTTATATAATTACAATTATATTTTTTTAGCATTAATATTACCATTATATTGGGCGGCAGCAGCGGCGGCGGCGACGACGACGACGAATCCTGATTTTTTTTGGTTGAAGCAAGAACGATTCATATTTTAATATTAATCACAATTACAGTATATGTTTGCTTAGCATTAATATTACCAAGTTATTACGCGGCGGCAGCGGCGACGAATCCTGAAATTTATTATTTTTTTTTTGAAGTAAGTATGATTCACATTTTGACACTTATATAATTACAATTATATTTTGTTAACATTAATATTACCATTATATTAGGCGGCAGTAGCGGCGGCGACGACGACGAATCCTGATTTTTTTTGGTTGAAGCAAGAACGATTCATATTTTAATATTTAATCACAATTACAGTATATGTTTGCTTGCATTAATATTACCAAGTTATTAGGCGGCGGCAGCGACGGCGACGACGAATCCTGATTTTTTTTTTGTTGAGGTAAGAATGACTTCATATTTAAATACTTAATTCCAGTTATGTACATTTTAATTCTAATGCTTACCATCATCATGTTAGGCAGCAGCGGCGACAAAGAGCCCTAAATTTTTTTTTTTGAAGTAATTAAGATTTCATATTTTAATTAATTTAACTATATAATTCTAATACTTACCATCATGTTAGGCGATGGCGACAATGAATCCTAAAAATTTTAATAATTTCACATTCTAGAACTTAAGTGCTTTTAGTTTTTGATGTTTAATACTTACAATATACTCCAGCATACTATTAGACGGAGAATTCTAAAATCCAGATAAATTTAAGAATTTTTAATATTAATTTCATCTCCCTCTCTATAAATAAAATAAATACTTACCACAATAAAAGACATACTATCTCTATTACTAGAGATTTCATTAAACTCATCGTCATCGGTTTGGGCACTATCATAATTATTATCAAACTGAATGTCATCGCAGTCTTCAATTAGAACATCGTCAGGAATATTTTCTTCTTTACGAATTCCTTGAGACCAAAGTTGGTCAAGAAGAACACAATGACCACGAGGCTCATGACCAAAAACTAACTCGAATGGTTTTTTATTAATAGCACGGCATATAGATATATTCATTGAGTAAATTATAGTTGCCAAACCAACTGTCCAGCATAAATCATCGTTTTCGCTCTGTCGATCTTCAAGCCACTTTCCAAGCTTGTCCTTTAATATAAAATTTGCCCTTTCCACAGAGCCTTGAGTTTGTGGTCTCCGTGGCTTTCCATGAATAATTTTAAGGCTTGGCCAAAGTTTGGTAAGGTTATTAATGATCTCTGCTACGAACTCACGCCCATTATCACTATGTAAAAAGATCGGCGGACCAAATACAGTAAAGATGTCGAACAAAAATACAGCCACTTTTGCTGCACATTTATCTGTAAAAACGCAGGCCCACGAAAAACGTGAAAAATGATTCCTTGCATGTGCTATCCATTTAAATTCACCATCCTTTCTAGTTTGCATATCTATAAGATCGATCTAATAAAAAAAAAAAAAAATTGAGTACCACAAAGGAAAAAGCCTGAATTTTCAAGAATTATAGGTTTTTCCTTCGTGGCACTCAATAAAAAAAAATTTTTTTAGTTAAATAATAAATAAGGTTTAAGCAAAAATAAGGTTTAAATTTACATACTTGAAGTCGTTGCATAAAAAACTTGCTAATAATAGGTTTTATGGCTAATGGCTTGATAGATAATCTGCGCGTATTACATGATTTGCACTTTTCAACAAATTTGTCAACTAGGCACCTTTTTACACCATGATATTTATCCGATATTTGGTTGTAAGTAGCCTTAACGCCCCCATGTCCAATAGCCAAATGTTCCTCTGCAATAATATAATATAACCTTTCTTTTAAAGCAACGGGCTTCCAAGTATTTGATTTTTCTTTGTGCATTAATGTTATAACACCACCAATTCTTTGATATGAATAATTATTCTTAACTTGGTGACGCACACTAGGACTTGCAATATGAGTATTTTGAGAGTTATTTAAAATTTGCAAATAATCGTTAGCAACATTTTCTGTGATTAATGCCTTAGATCTTTTTTTTTCACTTAAGGATCGTAAATATTCATCCACAATCTCATTAAATGTTTGAAGTGTTAAAAAGGAATATTCGTTAAGTGAATCCATCAAGAAATTAAGAAAAAAAGAAAATCAAAAAAAAAAAAAATTTAATCTATTTATAATGTAATTTTTAAACTCCGACTATCGCTACGTATGACCATCTAGTATCACTACCAAAATCAGACGGGGTAATGGTAATATTTGGTTAATATATGTAAGAATACACAATTTTGCTTATAAATAATATTCGCATACAAAAAAAAATGCTATATGAAAACTTACGGATGTTGAAGGAGAAAGCAATATGTAATGGATCTTGAGATAGCTGTAGATATTCTCAAGCAGTTAACGAATTAGAAGTAAATAACATGGTGAAACTTTTGCAAATTCATTGTCATTATATTATGGTTTCAAAATTTCTAAATCTGATATTATATTAATTTAGGTACGATAGAATTCTCAATATCCTTTATTACAGAAGCTAAAGAAACTTTATGGGAAAATAATCGAATACCAACCTTATACACAACGATCGATCTGGTAAATTCAGAAAACTGAAATATAGATAATGAAGAATCAAGTACTAAAGACGAATCTAAAATTTTAAGTACAAAAAAACTCCTATATAAAA